GGGGGGGGGGGGGGGGGGGGGGGGGGGTTTCTAGTTAGACCAACGTAAAATGCCAGCATATTCACCATGGGCCAATCTCTATGTTTACATTATATTCAAGATAATATAGAGAAGTTGACAGCTTCGAGCTTCCACCCAGCTGGAGATAAGTGCAGTAACTGTTTACTGGATAAATTCCATGCTGAGCCCATCAATCATCCGGAGGCTTCTCAAGCTTGTAATCATGACTGGCAGGCCACCAAACCAACGCCTATTGTTTTCTCTGCCCAGTGTGACAATGTTTTCAAAGGGATGAGTTTAGCACACACAAAAAAACAAATAAGTTGTAAATCATTGATAGAAAAGTAACAAGGATTTTTGATGAGCTCACAACAAATTGAGTCTTCACTAAAGTATGTATTAGCAGATCTCCATTATACTATGAATGTACCAGTACTAGGCTAGTCCCTACAACCATTAACAAGGATTTTTTGTTTTAATAAGCAGAAACTATTTAATGAAAATTTGCCTTGACAAGGAGCATACATTGATTAAGAAATTTGAATTCTGTTGTACAAAAAATGTTTATTGCTGACCAGAAACTACATTACATCACATGCAAAAAGTTCCAAAGAACTAGTAAATAAATAATATGGGCACTTGGAAGATACGGAGTGAAGCACAGGTGGTGAAATTAACAAGTTTTAATAGCATAGTACTAGAGCAATGACCAATGTTTGCTGGCTAATACTGAAGATAATCATTATATCTACTCCTGGTGCTGATAGACTAGTCTACACAAGTCTAACAAATCTAATTTTTGACTATGTTGGTATTAAGACACAGTCAAACAATAAGGAAGCTGAATAAAACAATACAATTTACTACACTACAAATGAACTAATCAAACATAGGCCATTTATAATAAAAATTAAATCTTTACATTCGACAATCTAAGACTACATTTCTGTTTAAATAGTTCTAAAAACTAACCAAAGAGAAAGTACTCCAAACATGCTGAAATAAGAGTGACAAAAATCTAGGAATCTAATAGTAAATAATTCACCAACTTTTGTCATCTGCTGTTCAATTTCACAGCTTTCTGCATCTTCGTTTATTACTTTTCATATTCTCAAAGTGATCTCAGGGGACATAATATACATGAACTCTAATGTTTTTAGGGTCATTGTTCCTGGAATTCTTAAAGATAACAAAAATTGTTCAATTTCATCTTATTAATTTGTTATGGTATAAAAACATAATTTCAGGCAAATAAAAAGGAGTGGCGTAGCTAGGGGAGGGGGAGTCCAAATTCGAAATTCCCCCCGGGCCCCTACTTGAGGGGGGGCCCCCAAAGGAGTGTCCGAAATTTTTTTTACATTAAATAATGTCAAATGTCAAAATGCAGGGGCCCCTAAAGAGGCCAAGCCTCCGGGCCCCCAAATCCCTAGCTTTGCCACTGTAAAAAGGCCAAGAAATTGAAATGCATTTAAGACATCCAGGCTCTCCAATCTGTTCCAAGCAATAAGATAAAACATCTAGAGTAAAGTCCACATCAACTAGCAGTCAAAGTTGTCATTCATATTGTAAAATATGAATGGAAACCACAAACAAAAAAATCAAAACAATAAAATGACTGGCAATGCAGTGACAAGCAAACTGGATTACAATGCAGAATGTAAATCAATGTTAAAAAATCACTCATCAACATTTGGTACACAAAGATAATCAAGAGCATCAAGTCTAAACTTCTATTGTCTGAGCAAGTCTACACAAACTTTGGCTGACAAAGTCTTACAAGTAGAATGACAGAAACAAATTAATTAAATAATATATGGTGGTCATCATTTATCCATTTTCATGAATTCATAGCAAGCTAATTATAAACAACTATCATATGGGCAGAAAGGGAAACGAAAAAAATTTTTTTTTCATATTCATGTGTCTAACTGCAGTATTTGCACCTTACCAATGGATACATTGATTTTTTGGATCCTTGAACGAGCGGAATGATACATGATATATGACAACAAGGCAATATAAAGACATTTATAAATAAGAATGTGTAAAAGTTTGTTTTTTTAAATGTTAAACTATTAGATATCATCAAATTATATTTTTGTCCAAAAGCAAATTCACACTTTTATCAAATATTTTGTTCACAAAACTCCATTTTTTTTTTCAGAATTGACAAAACATCACATACATTTTGAAAAGGAGAAATGACAAGAGAATGACTATATTTAGTTCAATGCAAAGAAGGATAACAGCAAGTTCTAATGGTAACGATTTTTTTTTTTAATTACATGTTCAGTGGCTAGTTTAAAAAAAAGTAATTCCTCTGCTGATAGGAATAATATATTAAGCCGAACTATACTTTAGATATAAAATAAATTTATGTTTTCACCTCTGGTTGTCAAAATTACATCATTCAAAAGTAGTATATTGCAAAATTTCATGCAAGTCAATGAAAAGCTGCTACAATTTATTTTTAGGAAAACAAAATTGATTTTCTGAAAAAACATTTGCAAAAATAAAAATTATTTTAAAATTCTTTAAAACTCAGTACACACAATTCAAACCACACCTAATCAGAAACTATTTGAACCATAAAATGACAGCTTTTTAAGGCTGATGACTTTTCATCAAATACAACTGGTAAGTAAGAGATTCCTAAGAAGATAAATAAACTACGGATAACCTTTATTCTTCTTCATAATTGACATATGTTAACTCATTCCCAACGTTTGCGACTAAATGCGTCCTTTGGGGCTTTGGCTCGATGCATCCAAATGCGTCCCGGCGCATAGCAACACACCTCTCTCATTTCTATTTTAAAATAGCAATGAAATCTCGCATATCTCGAAACTTCCTGCGATGGCGTGATTTCTGCGTGATTTCAATTTAAAAACTGGAAGTTTTTTTCTTGTTTCACTTTTAAACTACGTGTGCTTTAGTGCGGTGCGTCTATATGTGTTCCTCCGAGGTGCCAAAAATCGATTTTTTGGTCATTGTTCATTATTCCCCTCCCCCTCCCCAATGTTATATTTTGATTAAACCTTATTCATTTTTGTTGCATTTGTTCTTAATTCATTAACATTAGATAATATTTAGCAGCTTAAATAAATATTTTATAAATGTAAACCAATTGCAAAAGGGAGTTACTTCCCTTTCTCGGGCAAATAAATTAAGTACAGAAGTAGCATTGCAGGAGGGAATGAGTTAACATATCTTTATCACCAAAAAAAGCCAAACCTAACGCTCAGGGGTTCCCCCAAATGGAGATGATCATTGATGTGGTGTAAGATGATTGGGAGGTGAAGTGCCCAGGTTTTGTTGAATTGTTTAGGATTAAAATTAAAGAAATAAATAAACATACATTTTTAATGTAAGGTTAATAAATTGTATTTTTTTTTTTACTTATCCATGACATAATTGATGGAAAAAAATGTTTTTTAAACTCAATACATTTATGTCCCCATAATCTATAAGAATCAAAATATGCTTTTAAATTTGGGTTAAAATATTGAAACAAACTTTCTTATAACTGAAGCCCTTGCTGTGAACAAGAATATTAAACATTTCATTGCCTAAAAACAAAATGACCTCCTCAAAACCCTTAAGATGCATATTAATATTAAACCTTCGGCTTTAAAAAATTCTAGCAATGGTGAACTACAAAAATTGAGATTTGAATTTCTTCCTCCTTAATCCTTTTTCTCTGGATTATCCCTCCAGATCCTGAATGTAAGGGCGGTGGCAAATGAGACCCAACCAAGATATGGGAGTAAGAGAAGTCCTGCTGTCTCATTTACACCATGGAATAGGTAGATGGTTCCAGCTATGCTCCCCCATAAGGCAACAATCTCCACTAAGCCCTAAAAATACAAAAAATTGTAACATTTTTAAAATTGCATCAACTATTCAAGTGCCAGAGGGTCAAGAGTTAATGTTGTATTTAAAGTTTAGATTGAAGCAACCTTTATCGACCAAGAAAACTAGAGGAGATGCCATGAGATAAGGTTTTTTATTACTGTGAATATTTATTATATCTTTTTAAAGGCTAATTTCATGCAGAAGAATTTAATGAAGTATTTATATCTTTTGATTGATTTAAATGACTAAAATTAATAAGTAAATTTAAAAATCTGATTAGATTAAAAATGCAGGTACGATGATTGTTAAATACCTACTTATATGCTAGAGTTGAGTTTAAAAATGAGGGATAGCCCTGTTTTTGCTCAAACTTAAGATTAAAACAAACATAGCAAACACACTAAGAGATTGACCATCTCTCATTTTTAAGGTTATCACAAAGGATAAGTTGCACAATTTCTATTCTATTCAGGATCAGCAGCTGACCCCAGTGATAGCAAAAACTTCAACAACTGCTGCCTTACAGTCAGAAAGGAGATTTATAAATGATTGAGATCTGATCCAAAGCAAAGGCAACTGCGAGGGCCAAACGCTCCCCCCCCCCCCCAAACGGTGATATGCTGGGCTTACGTATCCTGAAGAGTAAAATTGCTACAAAAGCTCATAAGTAACGCTCACCCATTTAAGACTGTGTGCACCAAAAAATATCGGTGTCCAAGCCCAGTTCAGAGCCAGCTGTGTGCCATATGCAGCAAGAGGCAAGGCAGCATCCCCACCAAATCCTCCACCATCACGCCAGACCAGGTAGGAAGCGTAGCCCATTGTACAGTAAAGTGTGGTCCACACAGGTGGGAAAATTCTGTTGGGTGGACGCCATGAAGGCAATTTCAAACCCTGAAAGAACATTGACATTGATTCTTCTGAACCTAATATTACTAAATTTACTAATTCAAAAGCATAAAATGACTACCAGCAATGAAATACTTATAAAATGTTGTATATTATCAATGATATAGTTCAAATGTTCAAGACATATATATTGTACATTGTATTATCTTTATTGAAAGAAATAAACACATTTTCTGTCAAGTACCATGTTTTAAGTTAAGGTTTTGATATTTGCTGAATTTGAGTATGAATCAGAGTTCCTTTAACTGGTGTGTAGGGAAAACTTTGGGTGTTATTTTTAATCAAAACTTACACCTAATATTAACCAAATACAACCCCTCTGAAAGTTAAAACAAACAAAAAAATCAACAATATGAATATAAGCATCTCTCTGCAATCTTAACAATAAATGTGAAAGGGGAAGAGGGTATCCCTGAGCCTATATAAATTCAAGTTTCACCAATGCCAATATGTTAGAGCTACGGTTTACTTTCTGATTTTAGTTTCAGTTGGATATGTTTTTTTGTTAGTAATTTTATTAATAAATATCAAACTTTTACTCTAAGAATTTTGTTCATCATCAAAAAAGTTGTGAAGTGTGTATAATTCTATGTCTTAGTAAACTATTATTACTTTTAATGCTATCAGGTTTAATAATTTATTATCATTATTTAATCTATGGAGAAATTAACCCTACGAATCATGCTGCATGGTTTTATATCAACTGTTTCACTTCAACAGTTAAATTAAAACTTGTTTGGCTTTAGTGAATCGAGATAATCTGCACCACAAATAAAAATTGCCTAATGAAATTAAATTATTTATGGTACACTACTATTAAATAATATGGTTTTAATCAAAGAATTACTAATTACTATTTGGATTGATAAAGGTAGCAATTAATAATTTTAAACCAGACGATTGAAACTGACCTCATACCATGTTTTAATATTGCCTCTTGTTATGAAGCCGCCAGCAAGGCCTCCGATATTTGGGAGTATAATGGCAGCAGTTGGTGCAATATAGTCAGACATCTGAAAGAAGATATTATATTATTCCTAAACTGCTACTTTTCAGTCAAACTGCTAAGCTGGGTCTAATTTAATTAATTAAAAATATCCAAAGTCATTAATCTGAAAATATTTGATCTTGAAAAAAAATAAAATTGAGATGCAGCTCAAATCAGTGGTTTACATGTTATTTATTAGTATGAGTTTTTTTAGAGATTAACACAAGTGTAATGTTATTAAATTATTCAGTAAGTTCATTGTAGTACTCAATGCTTGATCCTTGACTGGGATTGGAGTGTTTCATTTTAGCCTCCTAGTGCCTGTTTAATAACAACTTTGAAATTGCATGACTCATTTACTTACTTAGGCCTCAATAAACTATTATTAACTAGAAAATATCACCCAATGTTATCAGGATAATAATGGCAGGCACTTTGCGATAATGTCCACCTGCTTTTGCCAAAACTCATCACTATTCCTTACTTTAAAAAGTATCTATGTAATGTACCCACGTTTTGTTAACGCCATTGATTTTCTTAATTGGTAAACATGTTTATTTGTAAAAAGAAAGTGTAACATTTCTTTTTTACAACTGTAATATCATAGGATTTAAAGATATTATCCATGTATAATGTAAACATCCTATTTCCTACCCTCGATATGTATGTACCTAAGAAGGTTAACTATCAAATTCAATTCTTTATTCTGAGGCGTATCTTGCGCTGCCTGGGGCAAAGTGAAAATATCCATCTCCTCCCCCACCCCAAATATTTTAATAAATAATAAAAATCATCCATGGGATTGTAGCCCACTATGTGCGCAAACACACATTTTTATTTGCACTTCATATGGTTTATTCTTATTTAGATGAGTGTAAATGCATTAGTAAATGCTATTTTGCTATGGAGTTTCACTGCACTGATTGACACAGCATTTTCTTATTAAATTTAATAAAATTATATTTTTGATATGAAAAAAAAAGTAAAAACTTATTAAATGTTAAAACTACAAAGCTTAAATTCTTTGTTTCATTAACAATTCAATCAATTATATTTATTGATTTTACTTTTAAGAAGGGGAAAACATATATCCGTTTTGTCACACACTGCCATTAAATCAAAGAAACTTAGAGCTTTGGCTAAAATAGGCATTTCCCGCTATGACGTCATTTGTAAGTTTATTGAAAACAAATTATTTTAATCCGCAATATTAACAATGCACTAAAAAAACAGATGCTTGGGTCTTCCTGATAAATATGATTATGATGTAATTCTTAAATCATAATTTAAATTTTTTTTTTTTTTTTTCCATAAATTTTCAATTCGGATAAATTGCTTAAAATAGTTTCTTTATTGCTATTTTAAATATATTTGTAATTTTGTAAATTTAATGAAAAAAAATTATTTTAATTCTCAATAATAACAATGCAATAAAAAAAAAGATTCTTGGGTCTTTCTTATAAATTTGATTATGATGTAATTCTTAAATCATAATTTAAATTTTTTTTTTTTTTTTCCATAAATTTTCAATTCGGATAAATTGCTTAAAATAGTTTCTTTATTGCTATTTTAAATATATTTGTAATTTATAAAAATAACACTTAAACATTTACTAAAATAAGAGCGGATAACTTTTACTTTTTTCACATTTAAATTTACCAATTTCCTTAAAATGATAGAAAATCACTATCACTGTTTTTAAGAATCGTATTTAAATCGCTTTGTCTCTTTGGCGTTGTGATCAGCCTACCTCATTCTTATATATATATAATTGTTAAGCAAATTCAAGTGATTCAACAATACAAGAAACAATATTTCACAAGAAACAATATTTCAACTTCAATAAATTATAAAAGTTTCTTGAGCAAGCATCCTCAAAATACAGCCTGCAGGCAAGATCATGATGTGCCCAGGTAGATCATCATTATGTAGATCCAGTAACCATTTGGGCATATTGCACTGTGAAGAATGTACACACTCTCTACAGCTGTTCTTTGTTGGTGTATTAAGGTATTTTGGTAAATAGTTTAGGTGCAATGTTGGGCAGTGAAAGAGGTTTCATTTGGATGTTGCAAAGTAGGCACATTGGTGCTTCATCTGGTTTTATGCGGTATTAAGTTGTTTGTGTCATGTGTACAGGCAAAATATTAAGACCCGTTTGTGTATTTGGGGTCTGGGCATGTGTGTGTGAAAACACATCTTCCTGTTGAGCCCATAGCACATCCATTGAACCGTTGTGTTAGCTCTGATAATCTGCTTTGCACTGTGTTGAGTGATGTGTTTGGCTGTTCATTGGATGCTCCCTGTTTTGCTAGTTTGTCTGCTCTTTCATTTCCTGTCCTGGTATATTGTGGTGTTCTGGTATCCACTGTTATGTTAGTTTGACTGCTTAGGTATCGAGGAAGGGGTTTATTTTCAGAAGTAGTGATTTTACTATTATTTTTGTGAGATCTTGATGCTCAGCTGCCATAAGTATTGATTTACATTTGGATAAGATAACATTTCTTTTTTTAGCTGGGATAAACTATGAAGATTCCAGATAGGTGGTGTAACCCTGCTTCAATAGCAGTCACTTCTGGCTCATAATTACTGCAGATTGCCTATCATGGGTTGGAGAGTTCAATATATGATTGGTGAGGAGACTCAATTTGTACAGCATAGCCTGCCTGTAGGGCTCTTTTGAATGCTGACCCATCTGTGTATATTTGAATTACATCCTATGGGTAGGATGCTATTGTTTTTTCTGAAGCTATCATATTTAGGTTGTCTGTAACTTTCTATCTTTTCAATTATGTCTGTTTTGATATAAGCCATTTGTAAATGTTCATTTGGGATAGGTTTTTAGGTATAACGTGCAAGTCTTCTTTGTCAGGTGGTGTTTCTCTTTGATTTCAGAGGCCACATCTAAGATAGATTTTTGTTTTAATTCTATGGTTTGGTCTCCATTTTTCAAACATTTGTCAATTTAGATGCTTGTCTAGCCTTCTGTACATGTCAACTATCTTGATAACTGCTGCCTCTCTTCTAAGATTTAGTGGCTCAATATTAGTATGAATTTGGCACACTGCTGTTCAGGTAGATCTTAGACCTCCAGTGATGAAATGGACTGCTTGGATATGTAATTTTCTAAGAGAGTCCAGTACTGTCTTGCAAATTGACTGTTGCAAAAAGCTGCATTCCTTCACTGATTGCACATATACTACGTACCGCTGACAGTGTGGTCTTGTCACTGCCTCAGGGGGTACTATCCAGCCTTTCAACAAGGTTTAGTCATCTTGATGACTATTCTTTCAAGATTTGAACATGCTTTTTTAAACTGAGTTGCCAAAGTTAAAGGAAATCTATATAAGTTGGTCCCGGGCAGCAGTGAAAAATATGGAACCGCACATTGACGACCTTTTGTCAAAAGCAAGCCGGTCCTTCCCATTTAAAAAGTTGTAAGTTTATGTTGATTCAAATTGTCCTAATTATATTTGAAATACATTGTTTGCTCCTGTTTTTCTGCACTAAAAATAAGATATATTGTGCATATGATTTCGTTCAATTTTTTTTTCAAACTATGGTACAGCTACCAACAGTGTCTGAGGGACAGTGACCTAGTCCTCCATTAAAAAATTTGAGGACCCCCATTCTAGAGAAAGGAAAAGTCTGAAAAATAATAGCAAGGGCAATAAAGCAGCAATTTTTTTTTTAAATAATAAGGCATATTTTAGACCTATTATATATTATGATATGCAACTGTAGGTACCAAATTTTTAAAAAGTAAAATAAGTAAAATATTATTTTTGAAGATATTTCCCTCTGATACTGACACTGACTACTCATCTGCTACTACTGATAAGGATAGCCTATTATATTTTAGTATAAGGCCTAATGCAGGGGTCTCAAACTCGCGGTCCGCTGGCAATATGCGGCCCGCAAGACAATATTTTGGGACCCGCTACATGACAGCAAAGTTTAGTGTTAATGGGGCCCGCGCGTTTTCCCCATTCTCACATCTATAATGATATATAATAATTCTAATTTGTATTATGTTTGTATAGATTTGGACGTTGATTATAATGGTGAAAATTGTTTTAAAATCGGACTAAAAGTTTGTATTTTATAGCATTTTATGAGGCATACATGGCCGAAATGCGGTTTGAGAAAAGTTTAAAAAGTCAGTGAGCAATACACAAACATAATTGTATAAACCGTAGCAATCTGACACTGTATCAAGGAATCCTTCTTAATAGTGCAGCTTCTGTTTACGAGTGAGGGAAATTCTGAGCATGTCAGCTTGGTCACTTTTCAATATAGGGTTGGTCAAAAAGGCTTTTTCTATGATAAAAAAATCAAAATTCATTCTCCCTACAATAGCATCTTCTTTTGCATCAATAATTTATAAATATTGTCTGCTCTTGCCTACTGCTTGAATACATTTTAGCATTTAAAGCCTTCATGGAGAAGGATGGGGTGGTTGTTCCTGTACTAAGTGATCCCAAATGGCTCATGGGCTTGGCTTTTCTAGTCGACATTAAACAGAAGCTGAATTTACTCAACAAGAAGTTACAAGAAAAGGAGTAGCTTGTCAGTATTGCCAATGACAATGTCAGGGCATTCTGCACAAAACTTGTGTTATGGTTCTTAGAGAAACCTCTACTATTTCCAAACATGCAAAGTACTCATGGACTTGGGCACACCATTCAGTAGTGAGTTTTCATATGCCATTGCAAAGCTACAGGAAGAATTTGATCACATGTTTGTAGACTTCAAAACACACAGATCCACTTTTCAAATTTTTGCTGACCCTTACTCCTCCATTGTGAAAGATGCCCCCACCTCCACTTTCGCTTGAAATGGAGCTGTTTGATCTTCAGTGCAATTCTAAGTTCAAGGAAGTGAATGGAAAAACAGACAAGCATGGACAATTTATGAGAGCATTGCCCTCCACCTTTCCTGAATTTCCAGGTTGTTCAAGTGAATCATGTTCCTTTTTTTGGAGCACCTGTCTGTGGGAAAAGCTCTTTTTCACTATGAACTTTAACAATTCAAAGTTCAGGGCCAAACTTCAAACTATAGAGGAAGAAATTGAAGCCTAGTTTTTGAGAACCCTTAATGTTTATATTTGTTATTAATATAGGTTAAGCACATTTGTACTATATTGAATTTGTAATCGCTTTTTTGTGGAATACTTGATGCAGCCCAGTCTCACCCAGACCCTACCTTCTGCGGCTTCCGGATGATTTGAGTTTGAGACCCCTGGCCAAATGCATAATTGTTAACTATGAATGTGAACATTTACTTATCAACCTTTGTAATAACAGTCTAAGACAGGAAAGGGCATTCTTTGTCAAAGTAAGACTTCTACTAATTCATTCAGTTTCAGCATACCAATAATTTCTCGTGGGAGATGCTGATCTTCTATCGAGCGCCTCCCCAGCCGGCGGATAGGGGAAAGCCCGCCAGATATGGAGGGTACCGGGGAAATAAAATACCCGGGGCGGACCAAAATCAGCCCTACTGCCTTGTAGGAAGTGGAGGGATCCACAAAGGCTAGGGACCTAACCCGAACAAAGGCAGCTACCCATTGAGCTGTGAGGGGCAACCCCCCAAGTGGTTGTGCGCAAGGCCAACAACCCTGCCATGTAAAAAATCATAGTTACAAAAGCACCGAAAAGAGTAACAAAAGACATTTCAGTCCTGGGAGAGGATGGATTCCTTGAGGAGGAAAATATGACGCCTAATAGTGAAAGCCGAAACCTGGAAGCTATTAAGCCGACAACCATCATCTCTACCAGGACTACCACCGTCATTGGCGCTTGGAATGTCCGCACCATGTACGAGGCTGGTAAAGCGGCACAAATAGCCGCTGAGATGAGGAGCTATAAGCTCACCATTCTCGGAATTAGTGAAGCAAGATGGACTGGATGGGGACAGAAGAGATTAATCTCAGGAGAGATGGTGATATTTTCGGGACACGAAGAAGACAATGCCCCACATACCCTGGGTGTTGCTATGATGCTATCAAGGGCAGCACAAGGAGCACTCATTGGATGGGAGGCCCATGGACCTAGAATTCTTTTAGCAACCTTTCGAACAAAGAAACGTAGCATCAACCTAGATGTTATACAATGCTACGCACCAACTAATGAAAGTGATGAAGGAGACAAAGAAGAATTCTACAATAGAGTAATGACCATAGTCCAGAATCGCCCACGGAGGAACATCGTCATCCTCATGGGAGACTTTAATGCCAAGATCGGCAATAGCAACACAGGGTACGAAGAGGTTATGGGACAGCAAGGGATAGGCGAGATGAACGACAATGGTGAGAGGTTTGCGGACCTATGTGCCACAGCTGACCTGGTCATAGGGGGGAGCATTTTCCAGCACAAGAGGATTCACAAAGCTACATGGGTCTCTCCGGACATGAGAACGATGAACCAAATAGACCATGTATGTATTTGTAAAAAATTCAGGCGATCTCTCCAAGACGTACGTGTTAAGAGGGGAGCTGATATTGCCTCAGATCACCATCTTCTTGTGGCCAGGATGAAATTAAAACTAAAGAGACATTATACCGAGCAAACAGCATACAGGACTCGGTATAATACCTCCCTCCTGAAGGACCAAGCCAAAAAGGAAGAATTCAGAATCTCACTATTCAATAAGTTCCAAGTCCTACAAGAAATACTTGAAGATGAAACCACCGAAGGAAAGTGGCAAAGCATGAAAGAAACAGTCCAGTCAACATGTCAAGAAGTGCTAGGAAACAGGAAAAAGGCACACAAAGAATGGATGACAGCAGGTACGCTGAATAAAATAGAAGAAAGGAAAAGAAAGAAATCAGAAGTGAATAACAGCCGCACCCGAGCACAGAAAAACAAGTCCCAGAAGGAGTATGCAGATGCAAATAAGGAAGTTAAGAAAAGCATCAAGAGAGACAAGAAGGAATTTGTTGATAATCTTGCTAAAGAAGCAGAGGATGCAGCTCACCAGGGGAACATGAGGGAACTGTTTGATACCATTAAGACGCTGTCAGGGAAATTTAGCAAGGTAGAGAGACCAGTGAAGGACAAAATGGGAAACACCATACCAAGTGAGGAGCAACAGAGAGGGAGATGGAAGGAACACTTTGAAGAGCTCCTGAACAGGCCTGAACCAAGAAATCCACCAGATATCCAACCAGCCGATAATGACCTGCTAATTGACTGTAATAGTCCCACCAAAGAAGAGATTAGCAGGGCCATTAAACAACTCAGAAATGGAAAGGCTGCGGGACCTGATGGCATCCCAGCAGAGGCACTGAAGGCGGACCTGGAAACCAGTGTGGAAATGCTACACCCTCTGTTTATGAAGATATGGGAAGAGGAGCAAGTTCCTTCCGATTGGAAAGAGGGATACCTTATCAAGATCCCAAAGAAGGGAGACTTAAGCTCCTGCTCGAACTACAGAGGGATCATTTTTAAAATAAATATTTTATTTACACAATACTCCCATACTTAAATTGAGACGATTTCATTATCGAAAAAATATTATGCACCAAACGAAGTTGCATTATTAAAAAAATATAAATGATTTAGCGTAGTTATCGGGAATTATATTTTGCGCGGTAGTGAACTCATTATCTATATATATGGTGGTGGTGGTGTTTGACCTTTGCTGGCGAATTATATATATAGATTTAAACCAAGATACAGACTTTTTTTTTGTAATTTTGCCTGCGACCTCTTGTGACATGACACATCTGCCGGAATAATGACACATACTAGTTGTCCGGCGGTCACGTGACTTGCCCGAATATCTCCCGAACTATTTGTCCGGTCGCCGGACGTGTAGAAACTGCATATTTTTAAATGTGGTGGAATTATGGGCTGCATAATTTGTTTTAATTTTTATGATAATTATAGCACTATTATTATTCACAGTCAGCTCAACCTATTCCCAGCTGACTGTGTATATAAGTTATAGCATTGCGCCGCGCCTTATTCCCAGCTGACTTCATTGTTAGTCCCAGCCGATAAATGGCTTACTTACACTACCGCTAGCTCAATGTTACCCAGCCAACATCGAAATGAATGACCACTCTGTTATTTGATGGTCTCTGTGTGCCAATGCATGCCCTTTTTTTTGACTATGCATGCCATTTTTTTGACTATGCATGCCATTTTTTTAGGTTGCCCATGGTATAAGTCTAGGCCACTATTCTAGTCATTTAAAGTCACTCTAGGGCGCAGCTAGGGCGGCTAGGCAGTCTACTAAGTTAAGTTTACTAATTATGACTAATTAAATAAGTGAAGTAGTGAAGTAGCCAAATGGGGCTGGCCGCCACATCTTTCTTTTTATTATTACTAATCTTCTTAGCCTTAATAATATGTTTATTATAAATTTAAAATAATTAGTGAGTAGTCTCTGAGTCTGAGTAGTAACTTGGTCTAGTTTATAATATAGTTTTAGTCTTAGTGCTGTTTTAGTATAGTTATATAAATTATAGTAACTTATAGTTATAGCTAGCAACTAAAATTTTATATATCATATTTTATAATTAGGCTACTATCAGTAGTGAAGTTTGTAGGCCATGAAGTTATTACACCTTCTTTTTTAGCATCAAGAAAAATTTACGTCTCTATTATTTACTTTTACTGACGAATGGGGTCAAAGAGTCAAATACAAGTTTCATCAGAATCGATCATTTCAATGTCAGCACAAAATTCGTGAAAGAACCTTACTTAAAATATAAAATGTACAACACAACTCACTCTCAGGATCAATCAAAAACGCAAAAATCACGTTAATGAAATCAGTGGTATAAATTTGATTCTCTCCGTAAATTAATGAATATAAAGGTAACAATTACTAACAGTTGAATTCGATGATAACCTGGAAAATTAGATAACTGACACAATAGATGCCGCACTTTTATGGGAAGAGCACCTTGACCTCTGCTCTTTAAGCCTTTTTAGGCAAGGAAAAGAAGCTAATCCAACGTGTAAAGCCATAATTAATTTTTGCATCTTAAAAAAATATATTAACGCTTATAAGAATATAGAAAATAAAATTAGTGTAGGCGATATTCATTTTCATATACATCCCAAAAATCTCTTGAGCCAAAATATATATTTGAAAATGTATATTGTGCAAAGCAGGAGTAAACCTTACTGGCATAAAAACGTATGTTGAATACGGATGTATTACTTATAAATAAGGGAAACAACAATGGCTACTTCTCCGAATACTTCGACTCTGAGTCCTAGCAAAAAGAAAGATGAAACCTTCCTCGACAAAATCGGGACCATGGGCCGCAAGAAAAAAGCAAAAGAAGGTAAAAATCATTTTCATATTAAAAATGTAATATTTCAAAAAGAGTAATTGCCAATTTTTGCTCACTCTTCTAGTCACATTTTTATTTTTTTCACTGGTACTCATACTCATATCATTCACTCATACTCATATCATTCACTCATACTCATATCATTCACTCATACTCCCATTAACTAATACTAATAGTTAACTAATTAGTCATACTCATGAAAATAATTTTCATATTAATTTATTACAAGTAAATCTTTAAAGTTACTGACATTGTGACTGTACTTTGACTTTCTGTATGACAGTAGTAGACCTAATACTAATACTATAGAACGAGCTTTTCACATACAATACAGTAGACAGTTAAAAGTTTAATTTCAAATAATAAAATAACAATACTGGGAGTGGTAGCAAGTGGGCTAAGTGGGTCAAATCTTAATCACCAAATACAACATTTGCCAACAAGTATTCATTCAGATTCAAGAATCATTTGTTAAAACTACTTACTAGTACTCCACTACTAAGTTTAAGTCACAAGTGAAACTCATGGAAAGTCTATGGACCATCCATCATTGATGTCATGCTATTTTGGCCACATTATGAAATTATGACATCCCCCCCCCCCCCCCAAATCATCACAAATTTGTAACAGTAACACAAATTAGAGTACATTAGAGTTTGACACTTGAACTTTTATCACAATCACACATTGTTGGCATAAATTCGGGCAGGCCTCTAAATGCCAGTCCCCAATGTCAAATAGTATACTTTTCATACGGCCAGACGGCCCTAATAATTTTTTGCAAACTTCTGGCTTAGCCATGACTCTTTGATCTCGTAGGCAATAGCTTAGCACAAAGAAAATCTTCATGATGATATTCTTTTGGGATTATGAATTGAAATGCAAGCATGTCATGCTTTTCAAAAACATTGAAAGTTGGAACACTATTACTATTGTAAACTACAACTTTTTCTGAATTGAGTGTTGCAATGGGTTTCAAATTCAACAAGTTCGATAACGCCTTGGACTGTTTCCAAGCTGCCTGTGTGCTTTTCAGTGGCACTTTAGCCACAAAGAACATGTTTTTGGGCATTACTTGATGTTGTTAGTGCCAATTATCACATTTCACCATGTTCTTGGTAAAAGATTTTTGAACTGTCAAACTAACTGCTCATTTGTTACATTCTAGTGTTTTGAATATGGGACCGAAGTGTTTGGAAATCACCATAGCAAATTAGGCCTTGTATATAAAAAGTATAACTTATAGGCCTAGTTATAAGTTTAGGCCTATAGCCAACTTAAACTTTTAAAACTTTTGATGATGTACTGTAACTCTGTAAGGCATAGCATGATGCTCCCTCGGCCCTGAGGGGCCATCCATAACATCTAAATGTCTCATTTGTGTTACAATTTTCTGATGATGGCACCTCCCTCCCCCTCCAGTGTCAAACTCGGCAAAAATGGTATGGCATCATTTATGGATGGCCCCTCAGACCTTAGTCTTAAGTAAGCATAGTTATAAATTTTAGACGAAATCACTCGGGCCAGTCAAGGATGAGATGGATTGTTGCCAATGGATGTGCATTAAAATTAAACATTTACAATGAGCCCTGGGAAAACCATCTAACCATGTTATACTATGGGCTACTAATAATTCTAACAGTCCCCAAAAAAGGGGCTGACTCGCACTGCATAATAATTTTTTTTTAATTTCAAAATTATTATTGTTGATTTTATTATCTTTGATAATTCATTCTTGGGTCTCAACAAAAAAAAAAATTAAAAAAACCCAGGGTTAAGCAGAGCATGTGCAGAGGCCAGTATCAACTTTTATCATAATTTGTTTTCAAGTGTAATCGAAATAAATGTATTGTCTTATTGGTTTTTGAGAAATAAACAAGGAGATGTGAATTTCGTAAATAAAGGAAAGACACAAATATATTTATTCTAGACTGTCAATAGAGTTGTAAAAAAATGTTATTATTTATATATATATATTATATTATATGAAAACATCAGAAAGGCAGCTTCCAATTTGTAGAAATGTCTGTAACTTGCAGATATTGAAAAATATATATTTTTAAATGTATAATATAGTTTACATTGCTCAAGGAATATTTTATAAAGAGAAATGTATTTGTTAGTAACACTTTGTTTTTTTCGTTCAGTGTCAGAGCTACAGGAAGAAGGAAAGAATGCTATTGAATCTCCCACTAGCCCAACCATTCCTGACATAGGTCCTGAAGGTTACCAGTTAGGTAAAGAAAAAGCTTTTATTAGCTTGTCATGAATTAAGTTTTTGTGTGTGTTTTTGTTTTCTTTTAAAAGTATTACTAATTAATTATTGAACTCATATCCATCAGGAATTCTGGAATCACTTGAACTTTGTTGAATTTCCTGTTTTTTTTCTTAAGAAATATTGGCAGGTTATTTCTAAAATTTATTCAAAATCAACTATACAGCCATTTTGTCAAGAAATAAAGAATACTCACATATGTGCCACTCTTAGTTTGATGCTGTCATATTTTATGGCTGAATATTTTATGAAGGGTAGTATATTGCTGCAATGGTTTAAATCACCTTTGTGAACTGAGATGTAGTTGTAATTCGACAAAAGCCTATCTATATTAGAGACGTTTTGCTAATGAATCATCTTAATTTTGACAATAACACACTCGCCTATTTTGAGGAGATAAACAAAAATTACTTTAATTTGCTATTAATGTAAAATCCACCCCTATGTGGATTATATAGAATTATTCAAAACTTTGCTAAAAGTCATTTTCCATATTTATCTGTTAAGGATTAGAATCTGCGTGAGTCCATTTGAAAATTAATGATTAAATTTTTTATAATTTAATTGTCAATGTATGAAGAAAAAAATAACATCCAAGGAACCAAAAGTCAATATTATAGGTTGTATTTGAGAAATAGCTAACACACCAGGTTTGTGTGACAAATTAAAATTACCCAATATTAATTTATCTTTCAAATTCCTACATAAATATTTTATTGATAAAAGATCACTATTTTAAATGTACGAAAGAATGTGATTTACATGTAAGACATTTAATTTTGATTATTGTAGTTTCAGCTCTAGAATTCTTCTTCTCTTCTTCTTCTATATCTTAAGGGCCCACGATCAATTTATTGATCATTTTGGCTCCTATGCATGTAGATGGGATTTGCAATGTTTCTGTTCCTGGTGTTGATGAGGAAATTTCACAGATTTCCAGTGCCACTTTGTGAGGGAATCATGCACTGGGGGTTTGAAGGCTTGAGGCAATAGACACAAATGTGTCTAGTGTTGTCGCCTCAACCGTTCCTTTTGAAAGATTGTTCCAGTCCCTGATTGTCTTGGGCAGGAATGAGCAGCTCCTATACTGGCTTCTTGCTGGTATGAGCCTGAATTGCCTGTCATGGCCTCGTCGCTGTCTATGGGGGAGAGGTACGAGTTTCTGTTTAATACTGGAACAGTGGACCAGCCCATTATTTATCTTGTACATCATGGAGAGCCTGGATTGTCGTCGTCGTTTCTCCAATGGTGACCAGCCTAGTGTTTCTAGCATGCTGCCAACACTTGAGGTATTCCTGTAGCGGTTTAGGACAAAGCGTGCTGCTCGTCGCTGGACCGCCTCCAACCTGTCAATGCTCTTCTGGGTAAATGGGTCCCAGACTGAAGATGCATAATCTAAAATCGGACGGATAAAGGCTTTATATGCTCTTTCTTTCACACAGGAGTTGCCAATCTTTAGATTTCGCCTTAAGAACCCTAGGGTCTTGTTTGCTTGGTTACATACATTGTTAATATGTTCATCCCATCGGACCTCTCTTTGAATGGTAACACCCAGGTACTTTACGGAGGAAACTTGCTCAAGAATATGGCCGTGCAGTTTGTATTGGTAGTGTAGAGGAGTACAACTTCTAGAGATTGATAGTGTCTGGCACTTGGCAGGGTGAAATTCCATGTCCCAGCTCATCTCCCACTCAGCTAACAGATTGAGATCCTGTTGTAGCTGGTCCTGGTCAGATCTGTTGGCGATCGTCCTATACACTGCTGTGTCATCTGCAAACAGTCTTGCCTGTGATGTCAGTTTCTCCGGTAGGTCATTAATGTATGCTAGGAACAAACAGGGGCCCAGGACTGATCCCTGGGGGACCCCTGACTTCACATTGACAAAGGAGGAGCTTGTACCGCCCACCACTACTGCTTGGCGTCGGTGGCTGAGGAAGCTAGAGATCCATGTTTTAGTGGTGCCTTGAATCCCATATATCTGGAGTTTGTGTAGAAGCAAACTATGATTCACCCGGTCAAATGCTTTTGCGAAGTCCATTACTAGCACGTCAGTCTGCTTGTGGTTCTCCAGATTGGTCATCAAGTCTTCTACAAATTCGAGAAGCTGGGTCTCACATGACCTATTGACTCGGAAGCCATGTTGACAGTCATTGAGTATATTTTGGCTTTCAAGATGCTTCATGACAGAGCTTACGATTATGTGCTCCAACAGTTTGCAGACGACGCTAGTGAGGGATATCGGACGATAGTTGGCAGGGTCGGAATGCTCCCCTTTCTTGTAAATTGGAGTGACATGCGCTGTTCTCCAGTCTGCTGGAACATTTCCTGTGCATAGTGACG